AAATATGCAGGACCGGCAGTGTATATTAAGAGGTCCAATTCGGGTTTATGATTATTAGTCTGAGTATTGGAACTTGGTCGAATAAAACTGTTCACAAACATCGTCAGTTTGATTCAATCCGGTCTCTGATTTTCGTTCCGATCTTATCTGGTTCGTAAATTTTTAGTCAAATAATTGGAAAGTCAGGTTCCTCCCATAGAAGTCAACACCTTTTTAATGTAATTTAATCGAGATAAGACATCTTAAATCAATGCATATTAAGCAAAACAAAGCCTTCAAAAAATAACATACGCTGCAGACTACCTTCGGTTAATGTACTAATTAGGAGGCACTAAAATTAATGGAACTACAAGCGAAATTCCTAATGATATAACTTCAATCTCCGAAACTCAAGACGGTAAATATAATAACTTCCTTCCTTAAGGGGCAAGATGTCCATTTTAATCAACGTCAGGAGTCTCCTAGACGATAAGGTGTTTTCGATTAGGCTGATTTAGTCGAAGCACAACCCATTTAATTAAAGGAAACTACCTAATGCAGATTTGTATGCATAGAGGGTATTTCCAAGACAATAGACAATGTCCAGGGTAAAATTTCGGAATTTCCTTTAGCCGATTGTTTCCGGAAGAATATTATATTCTTCCATTTAACTATGATGTTTCAAAATGTTTTTCATAGGTATACCTACCTAGGAGAAGACACCTAATCAATTTGTGCCCACAAATAAATAAACAAAAAAAAATCTGATATTTTTTACCGAAATATAATCTATTAAGGTTCCTTCCATTTTAACAATCCTTGTGTTCTTTTTTTTTACTAAGGGAGCTTGTTAATCTAATAAATTGTTCAATCTGAAGTCAGTGCTTTGCGCCCGTAATAAAATCTATACAGCCGTGAAAACATGGAGTTGAAAAAAGGCAACTTGAGGTTCAAACGAAAGTTACATCATCACCATGAAAATGTTATAATTTTTAACAGTAGAGAACCTGGATATAGTATCAATGTTTTATTAAAAACAAAGTGTTTTTTTATATGCCAGCAAAAGCTGCAAAGAATTAAATTTACTGCACAAGTTACCAAAAAGACAACAAAAATTATGAATTAGCTCAATGTGATTTGGAGTGAATTTTGTATGTCTAGATTCTAATTCTCGCTTACTTTTCAAAAGCTTTAAAACGTAAAATAGTTGATATATTATTGGAAAGAAAATTTTTGTGAAACCCATTTTCTCTTATCGGAACATTCACCAATTCCGGGAATTTATTCCTGGAACGAGATGAAATTCCAAATTGCTTTGATTAAAGATAACGACACAAGCAAATCCCCGATAGGGCAGCAACTACCTACTTTTCATCAAAGAAACGAGCCTGAAAGACGAGCAATGACGGGTTTTCGTTTCGGAAGAACCCAAAGCGAAAAAATTAGTTTGCCGGACGATCTTCCAAACGAGAAAACTTTTCGATTTCAATATTTTCCGCTCGGTCGTTTCTCGTTCGGCAAACAACATGAAAGGGGGAAAAGTTGTCGCTGAAGGCGTGCCTGAACCAACAAATTATTCTGACCCACTTGAACGGCCTGCCATTCAGACCGAAATTAAAGGGAAGTTTGGAAACAATATAATTAGAGATAATGTGTTCCGATCCTTCGCCTTTCTTTGAACTATGGCTTTGCACAATCAACTCTACAAACAAGATGGTTACACAAACGACCATTACTATAGGGAGCCTCACCTAGAAAGAGTAAATAACATTTACTATCGCTTGAATGGACAGTTGTTAAACTCGACTGATCAAAATAACTTCATCGCATTTCATAGCACATTTGTTGTTTAAAGAGGTTGTTTCTAATGGTTCTCAATACTATAGAGAGGGTAACGATATTTGACATTCTATAAGTATATTTTTTGGGAAAAATTTACAAATTCACGGAAATTCCAAAATTCATACGTTTTTCGGTAATGTTTTCCAAGTAATCAGTATGAACTTATAGATTGTTTTGCAATTTCGGAAGTGAGTAGTTCAATTTTTCAGAAAAACGCGGAATCCGTAGGTCAGTTCGATTGTGAATAAACTCATTTAAAAAATATGTTCATTCCTATATAATATATATAAATTTTAAATAACGAAAAAAACACTTTCTATATGGTATCAGTTTCTCTCAAAAAACTTGATTCATTTGTTATAACATAGGTTGTATAGTACGTTTATGGTGGATAAATAAATAAGTTCACATGGAACTAAATCTAACTATACAAACTGACAACAGTTATTTTAGTATTTGTATTACTGCATTACGATGTTTTGGCATCTTGTTTTGTAGACCATTTCACATGTCACGCGTGGTTCGATGAGACGCTCGCATTAAATTTTTTGCTTCTTTTGGCTTCTATTTAAAAGCTAATTTTTTTGATTTACTGCCGATTTTGTGATCAAATCCCTATTCATATCATCTTGAACACCTCCCGTTTTTAATACTAATTTTGTTTATTAAACAAAACTGCCATTTTTTAGCGATAAACTTCACGCCGTTAAAACAAGTAGTTCTTTTAGAGTCAAGATGCACAAACGTTTGATTAAAAATATTCGGACAAAAATATGTTTAATCTTAGCAGAAAAACTACTGGCGACATTTCCTAAAGTACGAAGTTCGAAAAGTCGCAATACTCGTTCGTTTCTCCAGTCAGATCGAAAGGAAACGAACTCATAAAGCTCCATATGTTCTAAGACTCAAGTCGTGAAAACTTCGGTATCATTTCCAGATACTTCAAACTTTTCCAACACAAATCGGACTTATTTATGGACAGTGGCAGCTTTACGAGAAACAATTTTTAGCGAAAAATTTCATATGTGTATTTGTCTCATCGAGATATTAAATTTAGATGCTGTCGGTCGGTATTTTATACGAGTTTCTTCTTCTAGTGGAGAGCTGACTGTTGCTAATTGCTTTCTCTAATTTGAGTTTATGGTAACGACTTGAAACTTCATTCTTTAAACGTAAAATAATTTAAGGAATTATTCAATCGCGATTTAATCCAGTCTCCTTAATTATGATCAATGCGACCAAAAGTGATGCAGATTTATAATCGATCAACAATTGATTTGCGCTTTTCTCAGTGATTTGTCTCATGAAGATTTTTGTCTGACTCTTCTATAAAACTTTATGAATTATGTCAGGTGTTCTTCAACAATGCGGGAATTTTTTTAAATTCTATTTATGGGAATAGATATAACATAGATATAAATGGAATGTTCTGTAAAATTCGAGTGTTGCCAAAGTACCATATAAAACATGTCCGACGTGCCCTAAAGTTTTTTGCCAAAATAAAATACTATTGCGATCATTGTGGATTATCATGCGGATTGTTTTTATTAAATTGTGCTTACAAGCGAGTTATTGGCATTTTTCGAACCCCAAAAACATAACAGTGACAACAGACGAGAGTGAACTATTCCATGAATAAAAGCGCAGTAATTTAATAATATCTGAAAATATATTTATTTAGCCAGTTAAAAATTTCAAATTACGTATTACCAAAGGGAAGCGATATTTGAAAAACCAAAAAAATATTATGCTTTAACGAGCTCTAGGATATTGCAGCTTGCGTCCATTACGAACTACCAGCTAAGTTATAGGAAATTTGCTTTCGTTGATCTAAAAAACCTTCAAACGCAAAAATGTTTCTTACCAGTAAAACCCGATAGAAATCTAAACTGTTTAACAAAATATACATACACGGACAAGTTTCTACTAATTTTGGATCTGGATAAATCCTGATTGTTGCAAGCGATTTGATTTCCGTTTCAAGCGTTACACGCGTTTATTTTTCATCATCAACTGAGTGATTCAGGTAAAGTTTCTACATGGTGGCAGATGAAAAGATACAAAAGTGGGGAAAGTCCTACATGCTCTTTGGTGGGCAAAAATGCGCTTTTTTGTATTTTAGTACCACAGCCATTAAGATGAACTTTTGCGAAAAAGTTATTGGATTTTAAAACTATCTCCTTTATTGACAGAGTGAGAGTTTAAAGACAAAAATCTATATCTATTCACAGTCGCGAAAAAATGCAATAAACCAGGTTGCATGAATGGTCGAAATATTTGAATTGAAAATTAATATGGGCCAAACTCACAGATTTCAGAGACAATAATGCTTTAGGTCATTTTTAATGCAGCTCCGTATATACATTTTTTGTCTTAAAACTTTCTGAAGGTTCAGCTACAACATAAGCTTTAGATCGTTAAAATAGGCATTATCGCTGTAAGTCCAAAAAGTTTATTTGTTGAATCATTTTTGTAAATTGGAAAGATAGCCTAGAAACTCAAAAACCGTTTCAAGGTATGTGGTTTATATTTAAACTTTTAGTGTTTCAAAAAACCTTTCTTTGGCCACCGACGAGCATGCCTAACCTCAATTTCTGAGTCTTTTCATTTGACACCCTATACAAAATTTATCTGAGGTGCTTAATTTTGAAACAAGCCATTGGACTGGCATAAAACAAATGGGGCTCAAAACGCGTCAAATAGAAACCAAATTGCGCGGAGCAATCAGAATTAATTTAGTTTCAAAGTTACGGCACATTGCGCTGTGTAATGTTCATTTTGATGCGGATTTTATTTAACAGAATCGACAATCGTATTTACACTTTAACATCCTCTTCCGCGGAAACTATTATCTTTCAGATCAGGCAAATCTGCCCAAAACGCACTATTTTTGTCTAGGCCACGTCAGTGGACATAGTCACGCTAGTTAAGGACCACCCTGTCCACCAGCTAATATGGAACCCATGTCAAAAGTTGGAAGTTGATATGGTAGGGAAAATTAATTTCCAAGGTTTAATCGATGTGTTTGGAGTCGTTCCAACGATTTTCCACACATCGATTATCGCGCTATGTTGCAACGTAGGTATAAGATTTCAATGCGTTTCATTCAATCGTATCACAACGAAACTCTTAATAACCCCCCAAAAATCTTGGCTAGCGAACAAACAGCAGTTTCTTACCCAGAATCCATTTGACGAAGCTCCATCCAGAATCCGAGCTGATCTGTGGAGGTCGGAGCGCCTCCGACGCCTCCATCCGCCATGGCGTCACGGCCGTCGCGATGCACTGCGCGACGCCGCACTCCAACTGCACCTCCGCACTCCCGGCAAACACGTCACCTGAAAAATGTAATTCATTCAGTTTTATGGGCTGCTCAGCAAATAGCTCTTTAATTTTATGGAGGTCTTGTTGATGTTCCACTATTAGCTGAAAATATGAACTCAGTCAATGAAGCCCATTAGAGAAGGCGACGCGGGAGGAGTAGTCAATATAACAATGTCATGTTTACCACTTGAACATATTTATTTTCAAACAAGGATTACACTTTCTTATTGTTACTTGTTTGTTTACCAACAATCGCAATTCAACAATGCCAGCCCTGTCTGGTTCCAGTGAAAGTATTTCGATAGAAAAGGAAAAGTGCGAACTAAAAGCAAGCAGTCAGTAGCAAAATATACCCATTTTAAAATTCCAGCTTTGGAATGTCTGTTTTTCAGACCTGCCAATGGTCAGTAAATCAACGCACATATGGCTGACAATGCCCTCAAAAGAATGGAGACCTTCAAGAATAATGCGAATTGACACCGCCCTGTTGGGCATGTGTCCATGCACATTATATTGTCCTTTGATTCGAAATGATGTGAAAATAAACACATTCTCTCAGAGTTTACACCTACTTTGCCTTGTTACGTCATGCAAAATTATCCAGTTCAATGTCTCGTTCAAATGCAAAGTGCAATTCACGTTTTGAAAAACCCTGTCGAGACAACCTCGGCCCTGAACAGAATACCCAATAAGCGTGTAGGCTGCAATTGCGATTAAAATAGCAGAATCGGAAATTTGCAAAAAAAACTACAAATGCGAAATGTAGAATACTTATTATTCGTAACACACCCATCCGATTCGCTTCTTTACATAAAATCATAAAAACTCTGCGAGTGGTTTAACTTAATGGAAGCCAAGCATCAAGACTGAAAAGTGCCAGAACTCATTACATTTTACATCGAATAGAAATGTTCGACTTCCCTTTGTTCACAATAGAATTGTTCCAATTACCAAAATACATATCGTAAAACTGAATCGGTTTGTTTAGCGTTTCACGCATTTTCAAAATTCAGTTTCATTTATTTGTGGAAATTGTTGTAATTCGACACTGTTGCGGTTTTATTTCAAATAATCTGTGCGAGTACAATTACCCCAGATTTGAAATATTTTAAGTAATAATTTTTTGAGCCTGCCGAAGTCGCATGGTCATGTTTAGGATAACAAAACATGACCATCTGTTTTCTGTAAAAAGTAAAAGTGTCAATTAAGTCCTAATGACCTAACTGAACAACTGGGAACAGTAGTAGACACATTACTAGTTCTAAAATAAATGAAGTAAGGATACCGAAACTTTAGAAAAGTTCAAAAATAAATAAATTAATAAAAAAGTTGTTAACATTTGTTTCAGAATGCACGATGAACTAAAAGCCAAGGACCAATAAATCTTCGAAAAGAAAAACAGCTATAAGAATGTCTTCAAGCGACTTCTAAACTTCTAAAAGGTGACATAGGTATGTAGGACTATCAAAACACAAAAAATATATCGAATCAAAGTGCTGCGTTGCGCTGAAAATGAAAGTCAAAATATACAAACTATAAAATGAACAACCAAAAATTCAACGTATAAAAAATTGTTCAGATACTCTTTTCTCGTCTCTTTAAAATGACTGTTTAGATCCTGAATTATTGAATAATCATATATTCTTGAAATACAGGACGTTCCAAAATTATTGGACCAGTTTTTAAGAATATGACTACCTATTTGACTAATGTATGTAACGAACTTTTTGTCTTAATCTTTCCCGCAGTAGGAAGTATCCTAGTAATCGATCCTTAAATTTTAAACATTACAAATTTTACCCAAATATATACAATACGAAATATTTATTTTTTCAGTTGTTATTGTGTAGAGGAGATCGGGTACAAACCGAAACGCGGCGGAAATGTAATAAGATTCCTAAATCTTCTGTTGCTTAGGGCACTAATATGGCAACAGAAGAGCTAATAATTTCTCTTTCAGATAGGAGCGTTTCATAATTTGGTAGTTTTTGTATAATCACAACATGCGTGTATTTTCCACAACCGGTTAAGATGCTGTAGCACATACGAATGTTTTGGTTCTCTTTTTTAGTTTAAGGTTGTATTTCCCTACCTCTTATGTAACTTGCAAAAATATTAAAAATAAAATCCTGGTTCAAATGTAACATTAGAGACAGGTACACATGTAACAAGTTGCAATTTTACTCCTGTATATTATAAAGTTTATTGATGTTTTTCAGATACTATACTGTGACAAATAATTCGCTGAGATAATGACGAAGAACGTAATAATTCCTCTTCAGCGCTGCCAATTATCTGCCCACTTCACTCACCAAAAACAACTGGTCCTGGAGAAAAAAAATGAAAGCCGAAAAAGCAAAGCTCCATTCTCACAAACACTCGAGAAAAACAATTGCTCGAACAACAGAAAATGATTTTCCGGAAACAGAAGCAATACTCAGTGAAAACAAAAATAGACGTAGCTCAAAAAGAAGTAGATCAAAGTAGTAAAAGTAAAAGATGAAAGCAGAAAGAAATAAAAACCGAAAAATGTTGCAAGAACACCGATCAAAGTTAGTTGCAGAAAAACCATGTTGGAAAGTTCAGATGATGAAACTGACGATTCTCTGTGTTTTAATTGTGTTGAAACAGCAAACGTTCTAGAGTTCCTTGGATTCAGTGTAAGAAATGTAGGAAATGGGATTACGAAAAACGGTTAAATACTTTAATGGTTTGAATTGCGATAGCGAATAATTACGTATTGATGTTTCCTTTGTGATCTATTCTAATTGTGCTTTTGAACTATTCTCCTAAAATGAAGATTTTATGAGTTTCTAGAAAAATATTAAGTTTCGACAAACGCCTAACAAAATCGACGTTGCTACATTTGACGCTCATAACGTATGTAACACTGCATTAACTATATGTTACTTTTATCTAGTTTCTAAATTATAAAAATGAAAAGATATGAAAAAGTTATATTGTAGTGGAATGTCTAAAGTACACAGTAACAGTTTATTTAAGCAATATGTTTCAAGTCACTTTCCGAACCCATCACAAGTAAAACAATTAGATTTGTAGCCGATCTCTCCTACCCAATAACAAAAATCGCAATTTACCCGCCTTTGCAACCAAATTCTTAAATAGTCACTCGATTGAGGTGATTTAATCAGGCTATATTAAATATGTTGTTTTAGCTAAAAAAAAAAACTCCTTTGAGTTATTTTATGTTTCTTAATTCAAAAAAGGCGAATAAACTTGGAAATTTTTTTTCTCTAATAATCCATTAAATAACTTTATGTGAATGTTGAAAATGCTGGATTCCACCAAACAATTGAAAGAGACAAAAATGTTGTTAGAAATTGGTAGGCTTCAGATGTCCCAGAACGCTTACAAGGGGTTATTTTATAATGAGTGAAAAAGACCTACAAAAAAAACCAAACGGACAACGAGAAAAATAATTTAATTTGGGAATGGAAAGACAAAGAAAATTCCATTTTCGTTGCCAATTTCGTTACGCTGATGATCTTGAACATTAGCCAAGTTCAATGTTCAACGGTGCGATCGACCATATCCTAATATGTTGAATAAACTGCAATGCTTCAGGCTATGGTTAACATGTTGCCTGCGTTCAAATTCAATTAGGAATAACAAGAAACCCTTATATAAAAAGTATTTGCCTTATTGTTACTAAGCACGAAACTAATTTGCCATTACGTCCAATCTTGTGACTTGACTTGAATACTATTTGGACTGTCTAATCTTGCAGGCGGTCAATAAAACGTCGATAAGCTATCGACTTTCCGAAATGAACATGGCAGAAAGGCCTCTAGGGATTGCTTTAGCTGTGGATTAGGCAGACGGAATCCAATAGGCAAATTATTGAGACAGTATTATGCTGATTGTGGAGAGAGGATGCGACGACAAAGAGTTTTAGCAGCTGAAAATAACATGGACGTGAGATTTATTTGGAACCATTTGAGAATGGAATGATCAGTATAGAGCAGCTTTGATTTAGTTGGCAATTATTAGCCATTAGCTTTGAAGCCGCTGTCCCCGTGTGAAATTGATCAATTTATTTCCAAACTAAATATAGGTAATGGTTCTTATATTAAGGTTTCTCAGTTTAACTGGCCAATTGTCAAGGCACAGCTAAATTCGATCCAAAGAAGATGTATGCAAAAAGTCACCGATTAAGTTAAAACGAATATCGCCCATTTTATTCTGTACGAGAATCCAGATCTATTCAGAAATTTGCATGGTAATTGCTGCACCACACTTAAGCCACGATATTGGTTACTTCGAGGTTGACCAATAAAAACTCGTACTTTATTGTTAATTAAATAACATATATCCGCGAGTAAATTGTCAGAGATAATTAAGTTTTTGCATCTTTAAGAATCCTGAATAACTTTGCATTTAGATGTTACGAGGCTTTTCAGGCTGATTGTGTACACATGTTGTCATCAAGTGCATATAAGTTTTGTATTTTATATGACAATGTAAGCGCAGACAGTTTGAATGCCTTTTAATTAGGAGACTTTCATGATATGTCTTCTCTAATGTGGTAGCTAAAGAATTTCACTGGTTTGTTTTTGAGGTATTCGCAATCTCAGAAAATGTGTTTATTTTTGGCTCTATCGGCAAATAATTTAGATTAGGTACTGAATATCATATAATTTGCAGTAGGTACTACACATCTAATATTCATCTATATAATTTAATCATTAATTTTGAAATGAAAATTAATACGTTGTTATGTGCGTACTTCCATTTTATTCTCCTCAAAGTTTTACTGACAATTAATATTAAGATTAATAGGTTACTTTCAGCGACAAATTGAATTTTTAACCTTGCACGCCCACCAACATCAGCAAGAGATATGAAAAGTCAGTATACATAAAATTACATGACTTCCCTAGCACCATTTTCATACGGTTAAGATAACAAGAAATTAAAATATTTCATCGATAAATAAAACCGTGATACCGTTAATATTAAATTAACTCTTTTCAGATCCTTTGTAATAAATAAT